CTACGTACCCTTCAGCCTGCTGAGTCCTGTAGATTAGGACGAAGGAGTCGTCGTCGATATGGATGAAGCAAGGCAAAGCAAAGCGCACTTGATCATTTTTTTCTTTATTTAATCCTCTACCTGGTTCACGTTATAACAATCTCCACCTCAGGATCCATCCATCAATATCTTGCTTATCCTCTTGCGCACTTTAACCTCCGCGTTCTCCATCCATTTCCTGTGGGCATGTCACGTCAAGTATGTAGTTAAGTCTAATGACAAGCCTTTTCCTTTCCCCTTTCCAACCAACGCTACTTCCATCTCGATCTGCTCCAGCTTCCAGATATGAATGTACATATATAATTAGCCCATAGTTTCTTCTCTTCAGTATAGTTATGACAGAGAGAAACAGGTCCGGTGGAATGGACCCCGTGCTAGCCTTTCTTTTCCTTCAAATTTAAAATGCTAACAGACGTACATAGATATTTGATTTGACTCTCTCTCTCTATATATATGTATAGACGATCAAAATATTAATATTAAACATTGAAGTATGACTATCGTGGGCTAGCTGGAAATGTTGGCTGGTTGCAAAACATGAAGCTAAATGCTTTTGTCCTCTCTCCTACTCAAGGGCCGGTCTGGGCAATCCGAATTAGGTAGGTACAATATTGTAATCACGTTCAATGAATATTTAGAAAATTTTTTAACATTAATTCTTTGGATTGTGTTTGAAAATGAATTCAAATAAGTGTGAATACAAATATATAGAGTATAAAATGGTTCATATAAATTGTAAATTTGGGTTAATTTTGCATTGACGAATTTGGGTTAATTCATATAATGGATACAAACATGAATTTCAATAAAGTATATATATTATCAAAAGTTCAATTGAATGTAAATTTACTTCTTTTTTATTGATGTACTTTTACATCTTATTATCAATGTAAATATGCATTGGTCTGTCATTTATCAATGCATAAATGTATTGTTGCCAAACACATGCAAAAGTAAACCAGAATGCAAATTTACCCTGAACCGGGATTTCATTTGTATTGTTTCCAAACACAGTCTTAAAATACCCCCAACATACTCTTGAAAAATATTAAAACCACTTTTGATAGTTGCTAGAATATTTATCAAGTGCTTATTGAGCATGTCTATTATATATCTTGTGCTTACTAGATCCGGGCCAGAGGCTATTTAGACAGTATTTGGCATTCCCTATTTTAAAGTCTTATCTTCTTTCTTGTTTCCTTATTTTGACACCTATCCCTTAAATACCCTTAATTTACAACTTTTAAAAGTTGTCAGAATATTTATAAAGTACTCATTAAATGTGCTTTCTACGTTGTATGACTTGTGTTTATGGATATAAAAAAGAGATAAATTCTTAAAATAAGAAATGCCAAATGCAATCTTAATTTTCTAACTAGAGCTAAAGTGGCTCAAGTGATTGTATTCTAATTTGTGAGGATTTTTTTTTTGCACGAGAGAACCTTGTGCCTTTGGTTTTGGCAAGTGGAGAGATGAGATGGCCTGGATTATTTGACCAATAATCTGTTCGATCCCTAACTTTTCTCCTCATCAATCTTCTGTCCAATAATTCACATACTCCACATATCACTCATTTAAAACCAAATAAAATTAATTGGGTAGATTGGAACATGAAAACAACAGTGATGTGCATATTCCACAAAGCTCAAAGCTCTGGTCTAAACCCAATGCACCACAGTCACTGTAATTCCTTGACTTGATAACGTTGAAGGGAGGGAAGGACGATAGAACCTTTTACAGTGGCAATGTGTAGGGTAATGATAAGAAGTTAATCAAAAGCAACATATCCACGTGGCAGCTTCTTCTAAAGCTCAGCCATAGCCAATGAGTCAATGACACAAGGGTCACCTTCTGTAACGTATCCAACCATGATCACTTTGACCTTGATGGCGACAACTGGGAATGTCCTTCCAAGAATGAAATAGTTTTGTTAATACAGTTAAGTTGCACACTTAGGAATAATTGCAGGCCCATCTACAAGCAACTACATGGGTTCTCGTCGTATGGAGACGTGGCCGGTGGGCAAGATTCCAAATTAATAAGGGTTCAACCAAATAATCTCACTAAACTCACCAGTCACCACTGTGATGGAGACAACCGAGGTTGTCCTTATCTAGGGATAAAACAGTTGCCACAAAAAAAAAAAATATTTATCAATATTTTTTCCTGTTGTTAGGTTCAGTTTAGAAAGAGAAATATGTAGAATGCAAAATCTTATATTTTGTATTATTTTATATGTATTTGTAATATTATACATATTTGCATTTGTAATATTTTCCGGAGTAATTTTGAGATCAACTCCCCATCAAAATTCCTAATGAAATGGCACAGTTCGGGTCAGTGTCAATGGGCGGAAAGATTTCCAATTCACAGAAGATGGTGTTTATAGGGGGGAGTGGCATAAATACATTGGGGAATCAATAAACCAAATCTAAGGGGGATTCAACCTCCAAAAAAGCCAAATAAGAAATATTATTCTATTATCAAATTTCTATACAAACAAAAATTGATTTACCCAAATGTCAGGAAGAGAATAGTACTTACCCAGATCATCAAGACAATAAACTAAAACACGAATGCGAGTTTTTATTTGGAACCCACCAACTTACCCACTCCCATCTACAAGAAAACTATGTATCCTACATATGCATACTATAGTCCCCAACGGCCCAACCTTCTATGTTTTTGCATTGCTCTCCCCTCCCTACTCCCTAGCCATGAGGTAGATATGCTTCTAAAGTGGCCAATATTTCTTCTTTTTTGGGGCCAAATCCTTCATATTAGACTTCCACGGTGGGCCCTAGAATGAAGGGTAGATACGATGCCACAAGCTTATTGACCAACGTGGGAGGATGACGAATAGGTTGGTAGGACTTGCTGTATGTGATATCAAAATTTTACGGTCAAAAGTTCTCCAAGGTTCAAAATACCGTATCAGCTGATACGTATCATTCTGGTACAGGTCTGATATATATAACGTATAGAAATTATTTGTAGCGTTTTTTTTTGTATGTATCGGTCTGTATCGGATTATTCCAGATCTTGTATCGGACTATTTCAGGTCTGTATCAGCTAATACGGTTCTGAAATAGTCCAATACAGCCTGATACAAGTAGGGGTGATCATGGACCGGGTCGGGCTAGGCTTTGCACTTATGATAAGGGCTATAGCTTAGGGCCAGGCCTGATTCCAGGCCAATGTCCCTCATATATAAAACATTACATATTTATATTTTAAATGTCATAACATGCATATAAACTTATTTTATACATTATGTAATATAAAATATTACATATGATATAAATTATACATATCATGCTATAATATTTATATATATATATATATATATATATATATATATATATATATATAATATAATGTAAAATAACATGTATGCATATATATACATTATACACAAAATGTGTAAATTTAAATATATGCAGGCTGGGCAAGCCCGGGCGGGCTTGAAATTTTAAGCCCAAGCCCGACTCTAAAATTTGCAAGCCTGATGTGGGCCCGGGCCCAGGCCGGGCATGAGCACAAAACCCAGGCCCAAGCTTGAAATTTTCAGGCATGATCACCCCTAGATACAAGTCCCCTTCTCTCTCATTAATTTCATTAAATTATATTTAGGGCTGAACTACCTTTCATTAATTTAATATTTACTCCTATAAGTGCAATTTCTCTCTCATTAGTTAGTTAATTAATCATATAATTAATGCATAATTTTAAATTGGAATTTCAATTTTAGCGCCTAATCGAACTCTCTTCTCATTAATTTCATTAATTAATAACCCTCTTTCTCATTAAATTTGTTTTGTTAGTATAAAACTACAAATTAGCAATAACAAGATTCGGACCTTAAGCCGTTAGGATTTAAGAACTAGAGGTTCACCATTAAGTCATGCCCATTTGCTTACTATAGGTTTATGCATTTTTATTTTTAAGTAAATTGTCTTTTTTTCTTAGCGTATGCTTATCAATAAATGTTAGGATTAATTATTAAAATTTATGTATTAATAAATATTAAAATAAATCATATTAATTATTTTAAAACTAATGTATATCAATATACATTTTAGGTTTTTTTTGTTTTTTCACATTTTAGTTATTTCATCATTTGTCAATAGTTACTAAGTGTGTCTCGATATCTCGAATTTTATATAGACTATTAAATTACAATTTTTTTCTTTTAAATAATTTATTTACAATCATCTAAAACTTGTAACTATTGTTATTAATATATTTTTAGGATTTATTTAAATTTTTTAGTATCTTGATTTTTCATCATATCCATAAGTATCTAAAATATATTCCCATACATCTTTTAAAAATATCTTTTCGATACACCTTACGTTTCCATACTTTAAACTTTGAACCTCTCAATCCAATTCCAACAGTAAAAAAGAATCTCATGTATTTTATTACTAGCGTGGAATTTGAATTTTATAATTAATTCCACAACCTGCTGAACATCCATGGTATTCAACTAATCCTTGCTCTTACTTTCTCTCAGTCTGTCCTATCTCACGATTCTCACCGTCTACACTTGACTAAGAGGTGCCGGCTTTTATGAGGAATCTTGTACGGTTTTTAGAGGAGAAGGACCGTATCGGCGAAATATCGTATCGGTCTCGGTAAAAACACCTGGAAGAAAATGAACGTGAAACCCTGTAACTCTCCAAAACTTGCTTGGGCGCATGAAAGCAAACGATCTGGCCCATGACCATGAAGCCCAAAATACCCCTCTTCTTCGAAAAGAAAAGTTTAAAAAAGAAAAAAAAAAAAAAAAAAGCGAAAATTAACGTGGCTACGTGGCTCTAAATAAGCACTAGAAGTTAGATTGTCCCACCACGCTAATCGTACGTACTGCCTCTGATCTTCGTGCTGTAGAAATGGGACCCACCAGCCCCAATACCATCTCATACCTTTTCTTTGTGTTTTTAAAATCCGAGCTTAAATCTCACCACCTACCATCGTCGCCACGAGAGAGAGAGAGAGAGACGGTGGAGAGAAAGAAAGGGACGATGAGAGATGGTGGGATTGAGTATTCTCCTCGAAGCCCAGAAGAATCTTAAGGAAAGCCCACAGGTCATCAATAAGACTACCATGGTGAAACCCATCCCTTCTCCATCTTCAACGTCGTCATCGCTGTATTCTTCGTCACCTCTCCCGGCGATTTCGTTTCTTGACGAGTGTTTTCTCTGTAAACAGAGGCTTTTACCCGGCCATGACATTTATATGTACAGGTGAGTGAAGTCGATCTTTTTGTTTCACTACTGACCACTTCAAGTCTCCACGGCTTCTTTTTCTTCTTCTTCTTTCTTTGCTCCTGTTTTATAACAAGAAAACCTCTTTTTTTTTCAACTATATTAGTTGAAGCTTATTGTTCCAATTTTACTGCTTAGATATATAACTTGAACACCCGAGAACTTGTTTTTTCTGTTAGGTTTTGAGTACTGTTTAATGGGGTTGTTCTAAAGAGCTTCATGTTGTGGTTATATTTGAAACCCAGATCGAGATTTCTCTTTTAACCATTCTATTAACTGAGTTTACTCTTTAGATTATCAGTGTACGATGATCCTTCTATTTTCTTACCACTGCCTCTCCTTGTTTTTCTTTTTTCCGCAGAGGAGATCGGGCTTTTTGCAGCGTCGAGTGCAGGTGTAGCCAGATCTTAATGGACGAAGAAAACATCAAGAGAGAAATCTGCTATCAGGCTGCCATGAGACCCACATCGTCGTCGCCATCGTCGTCGTCGTCATCCCGTCATCGCAAAGGAAACAGAAGCCGGGCGGGTGCGTTTGCCTACTGAAAGCAGAACAGAATCCTTGTCCTAATTTTGCCATTTTACCCCTACACATCTGGTGTAATCCCCGAGAGACGCTCTTTTTATCGTTTTCTTTGCTTCCTTATGAGAAACCAAAAGGTCCCTGAACAAACCCTGCTGCAACTGGCCAGAGCGTGCCCACTGTTTCCCCCTCCCAGACCTTTTTGCATTTCCATTTTTCTTCGCTGCCGGAAAGGTACAGGATATATTACTTGTCGGCGAAGTGTATTTTGCTACTCCTAATTATGCTTAAATCTAATTAACCCATGATTATTAATTTGTTCGTCCGTGCAATTAGCGAGGAGTACAGAAAAAAAGGAAAATTTTCACTTTAGTACCTGACTTTGGGGGTACTGTAAAGTTAAAACCCAAATTTTTAAACGTGTCACTGTTAATATCTAAATTTTCAAAAAGTATCAAATGGGTTGAGAACCGTTAACGGATGTTAAGTATTATGTAAAAGGGTAAAAATGCCCTTCACTTATTACCTAATTTACTTATAATTGATATCCAATTGATAATCCCTAATCAGTAACTACCTTGATATCAAACTAATAATAAATTCATCAAGTATTCACGATGTAAATACAAAAACGAACAAATAATTTTTTTATTGACAACCATGAAGAGAATTTTAAGGGCGTGTTGCTAGAAAAGGTGGTTACTTTCAATTCACAAAAGGTAATGTGTTGTGGGTAGATATGGATAGAGTTGTTATTGGCAGGAGATCCGAACTGTAATACAATCGCCTTCCTCGAGCGCAGAATCTCGATCTCACCACCTTCACCGGTACCTTCTGTTTTCTGATTCTTTTTCTTTTTGTCTTTTTTATTCATATTCATTGAATTTAGAACAATAAATAAACAGATAAATATATGCCGATGGCTTGATAATTTAGCTGCTTAAGCCCATATCTAGATATAGGTACAAAGTGTAGTGTTGATCTTATGCTGACAATTACATTATAACCATGAGAGAGGAACTCAAAAACCTGATCCATTTTCTATTTTAAATTTGTTTCGTGGAGAATTATAGAAGATATTATAAGATGAAATCGTAAGAATGAAAAACAAAACCACGAAATGTTACGGATCCCGGACTCGAAGGGTTTGGTGTTTGTCGGTCTATCTTTTTCCTCTTTATCTCGACTCGTGTCGCGCAATTCTTTCCGTAATACTTTCTTGAGTAGCGGAGGGCCCCTCCTTTGTAGGGCTGGAATGGAATTATAATATTATTATTTGTAATTTAATTTGTTATATTAAAAAATATAATGATATTTTAAGAATAAATCTGCAATTATAAGTACTCAAATCTTAAAATTCGTACAGACTTAAAATATATCATCATGTGCTTGTTTTTAAATATTATTTCAGTAAAGCGTCTCATATAAAAGAATATTATTATAAAGTGGTAATTTTATGTTCTACTTCATAGTTGTCTTTTGTTTTACATCAAGAATTTCTAGTTGACCCAGATGGTAAGACTGCTTGGCCTGAGAATTGTCCAGGCAACAGGTTCCATTTTACCCCAAACTCAGTCCCTGGCAAAAAATTGTTGAATCAATCAACGACCTATTGACCAGGGTGGTCAACTCATTCAACGATTTTGGCCTTTTTTTTTTTGCCAGAAAGGGCCATCCGTTCAAACCAGACAGTCAAACCGGTGGCTAGAACGGTTCCATTTTTGGATTGTTTTTTCTAGATGTCAATAATTACGAAATAACTTTGTAGTCATAGTCATGGGAAAGTTGGACATTGCAAGGGAATCCAAAACCTTGAAAGATAAATCCAAAGTGACCTTAAAAACAAAAAAAAAAAATTGGCAGTAAATCCATTAAACTGGAAAAACCAAGGAAAAAAAATCAGAAAATCGAGTCTAAAGTTTCACTTCAAGACGGAGCTAAACATACATGCAATCAAAGAAAGAGACAAAGCAGATCATCTTGTAAGAAAATAAAAAGAAAACATTACACAAGAAAATCCAAAGAAAAAAACAAAAGCAAAGAAATAAAATGGTGGTAAACCCTAGACCGTTTTGGAGGATCTTGAAGAAGAAGACCAAACACGAAAAAAAAATAACAAAACTAGAAAATGGAAAAAAAGGAACATACCACACATGCTCAAATAAAGCCCACATTAGAGAAACCTTTGAATAGTGAAAATCCAAAAGCATAAAAATCATGATTTTTTAACCATTGTTGACCTAGACAGACGAACATTTCGGTCTGGGAACCATCCAGGCAACCGGTTTCGTTTTACCCCAATCCCGATCCCTGGCCAAAAACCGTTAAATCGGTCAATGACCCATTGACCCGGGCAGTTGAACTATCGACTCGTTGACCTGTTCAATGGTTTTTGGCCGTTTTTATTTTTTTAATTGGGAACCGTCCAAGCAATCGGTTCTGTTTTATCCTAATCCTGGTCCCTAGCCAAAAATCGTTGAATCGGTCAATGACCCATTGACCCAGGCAGTAGAACCGTCAACCCGTTGACCCGTTCAATGGTTTTTGATCATTTTTTATTTTTAAAATTTTTGTTGTCAGAATGGGCAGTTCGTTCGAACCGAACAATCAAATTGTCAACCCGAAAACTGGTGGCTAGAACAATTCTGTTTTCGGGTCATATGAGTCACATGCTCGAATGACATAACATGTATGATACTACTTAATGGACCTCACACCCTCAATTTTTTGCTTGTAATTTTTGTTGTCAGAACAGGTCATTTGTTCGAACTGGGCGGTCGAACAATTATTTTTTTTTATTTTTTTAATTGGGAATCGTCTAGGCAACCGGTTTCGTTTTACCCTAATCTCGGTCCCTAAAAAAAAACCGTTGAATCAATTAACGACCCATTAGCATTTTTCGAATTTCCCAGCAAAACAAAAAGGCCAAAATATTTTAATATAACATTGGAAGATGGGAGAGATGAATACTGTATAAAAGGGAAAAATAGATGCACTAGGTTTTTCACTCATTTATATATAAAAAAAAAAGTTAAAAAGTTTTTTCACATGGTGGTTTAAACGTGTAAAATAAATAATAAATACTGCCATGAATCTTGACCATATAGATGTGGTTTATGAGGCTCAATTTGGAAGCAGTACAAATACAAATATGTATAGCGTAAATACATACAAAATATAAAATTTTGCACTCTACATATTTGCATTTGTACTCCTTCCAAACTCAGCCTACTTATCCCTACTGCCTGATTGGTCTCTCCTTTTATGATATTGATTGTTGGTTAAAAGCTCTTCTTGAATCACGTCTTTCCGGTATCATGGTCAAGCCCTTTATTTATATATATAGCGGAGATTGATTCCTTATAAATTTGGGTGGATACCGTGTCACCCCTCAAGAAGACAGGCAACACTATAGCACTGTTTTCAAAATCGGACTGGACCGGACGGTCGGACCAGAAAAATCGGGAACCAGTCACCTGACTGGTTCTGTTTTCCTTCAAAATCATTTTTTTCCTCAAAACCATTGATTTTGGTCAGTAAACCGCTGAACTGGCCAATTAACCATTCAGACGGTTTTGACCGTTTTCCAATTTTTTAATTTTATTAATTTTTTTATTAAAACGGATGGCCGTTCGGATCGAATGGTCGGACTATTCGAACCGGTAACTGGACCCGACTAACTCAGTCACCGGTTCATTTTTAAAAACCATGCAGCATAGTAATCATCGACGAATGCCTCCTGTAAAGTACAGTAGTTGTTGATAATAGCCTCCTGCAGCATTATCGCCGGCCACCAACGCTCATCCATGGGTTGTGGTTCCTCACTAACACGCGCCATCAGTTTCTATAACAAGAAAGGGATTGGTCCCAAATGGGTACTGGGGTGCCATCGTTTCACCCTCCCTCCTTCATGGTTAGAGGTGTCGTCGTTTCTTCCTCTCCCTTGCTCTGATTAGAGGTGGGCCAATCATCTAAAGGTAGAAGATAATGAATGGTGTCTTCATTAGTTAAGAATCACAAATACTTCAATCYGTTCAGTCTTAAGGTAATCATCTAAAGAAAGATAATGAATGATGTCTTCATTAGTCCAAAATCACAAATACTTCAATCGATTTAGTCTTAAGGTAGAAAATAATAAACAATTTTTATTTTAAAGAATAATTTTAACATTTTCAAAAATTTTAAATTGCACATGTCATCACGTGATTAAATAATTGACGATCAATAAATGATAGGGATCAACTTAATCGTTTAAAGGAATTACAATTTTGCGTTTTTGTATTAAAAGTTGGAAAGAGATAAAAGAGAGAAGGTACTATGAGTACTAACTACGGGATAATGCTCTTGGGCAGTTTGGGTTATGTTTCCCTGTACGATGTCCTACGTTACGAGGAGCAAGGAAGGGAAGAACACAAACTGCAATAAATGATAGAGCGCTGGTTTGCAAGACGACAAACAGTGACGTGCATTTTAGCAAAATAGTATAAGGAATGTCTAAGTTGCACGCTAAGTGGTACTAGTCCGGTTTAGTATTTTGCACAGGTACCACGTGAACGTAAAAGCTTCCCGCCTCCCCGCAAGGAACAAGCCTCTACGGTCCACTATTAGCAGTGGGCCCCAAAAGTTTGTCCACATAGTCCAGTACTTAAACCATTGTTGCCAAACAGGGTCCCCGGGTATAAAAAGATAAAACCCAGTTATTTTGTTTGTTACCTTGTTTTGATTTGAGGAGCTTCAAGTCGGTAACAATTAAGGTACCGTTTGGTTCACTAAAATAAGGGTTTAGAATTTGAATTGGAATGGACCATTTTAACTCTAATTATTTGTTTGGATGGAATTGAAATTCTATTCTCATTATTGATGGAATGTCATTCTTCCATTTGAAGGAATGAATATTCTCTCCTTTCCCTTGGTTCAATTTGGAAGGAATATAAATGCAAATATGTACAATACAAATATATACAAAATATAAAGTTTTGCATTCTATATATTTGTATTTATACTCTTTCCAAACTGAGCTTTAATAATAAAATTCCACTTGAGCTGATTCTAATTCTTATCTAAATTAAAGAGTAAACCATTCTAATTCCAATTTTATAAGACTTAGATTCCAATTCTGAGTGCAATCCAAATAAATATTAGGATAAATTATAAAGACCCCCTACTATGGGTCTATGACAAAAACCCCCTGTATTAAGACCATGAGACAAAGACTCCCTTCCATTATTCTTTTGAAATCCACCATTATACATATTACTTTTATAATAACTATTTGGAGAAAAATATTGTTCATCTTCTCCGACTTCACGATACACGAACAGCAGCACGGTAAATGTTGCAGCAACAGCGGACCTCCGATGTCCTCCCTCTCTCTCTCTTCTTCCCCTTTCCCTTTTTCTTCTCCCCTTTCTTCTTCCCGGAGAAAAACACAGTAGATATTGAGCACGAAGCTCAGTCCCAATACCATCGTAGCTGATCCAGTGGTTGCCACTGACGATGCTGTGGGCGTCATAATAACGAAATAAAAAAGGTGGCTTCTTTCTATACCACCAGCAACCAACCTTTTCCTTAAATTTATTCATTGGTCGATCATCTCTGCTGCCCATTTGCCATTTGCTCCTTCTCCCCTCTTTCCTCTCTCTTTCTCTCTCTCTCTCTCATAAAAACTCTAAAATTCAGAGAGCCATAAGGACAGAATTCCAGACTTGATAATGGAGGTGGTGATACTGGCACCACCTAACGGCATGGATTTCAACTTCGACAGCGCATGTTCTTCCCCCTACATCAGTGCTCCTTCCAGCCCCAAACGTTTTGGTGAGTTTTTCAACGCTCCCACTAGTCCTACTAGGGCCACTGCAATTTATCGTGGCTTCAACGACTTCTCCATCACCAGCGGCATTGGCGGCGGGGGTGGCTCTTCTTCGGTCATCCCATTTGACTTGGAACAAAAGCCTGGAAAGTCGAAATCCAGCGACACCCAGAACGACGATGACGACTTCACCTTTGATTTCAGTGGTCAGTTAGAGACAACTTCGCTCACCGCCGATGAACTCTTTGGCGGAGGCGTCATTAAACCTTTAAAACTTCCTCCTCGGTTACAGCAGGTTCCTAGCAAAGTTGACGACTTTGCTACTCGGAAGAGCGTTGTTTCATCGCCGAGGTCCCCAAGATCACCTATCTCGAAGGGGAAAAGGATAATCATGAAGCGTTGTCCCCACGTCACAAGAAAGACTTCAACCCATTCGCAGCTACAATAGAGCAAGCGCGTAAAGGATCAGAACGCGATCGAGGGAGAGAAAGGTTCTTTGGTTCGAATTCTGGCCGTAGGGGTACCCGATTGCTGTTGCTTTCAAAGTTTATGGGTTTGCATGGGAAAAAAAAGAGCAACAGCAAAGCACCAAACCCGCTTCGTTAAATTCAAAATCCACTTCTACATCGTCGTCGTCTTTGAAGGGGAGCAAGAAATGGAGGCTGAAAGATTTTATATTGTTTCGAAGCGCTTTAGAAGGTCGAGCAAGGGACAAGGATCCTTTCAGAAAATTCACGGTTTTATCCAAGAAACAGGACGACGCAAAGAACTCGAGCTTCTGCTCAACCGACAGCTCCGGTTCGAGGAGAAGAGGGCTAGTTTCATTCAGCTCACGAGTTGCATTATACAGTGAACCGGGCGGTATCTGATGAGTTGAAGAAGAACAATGTTTTTCTCGGAATAGTTATTATAAGGGTAATACGGTAATTAAAAAATATTACAACGGTGAATTTCAATGAAAAAGCTAACAGAAGGGGTCTTTATCTCATAATCATAGTACAAGGGGGATTTTTGTTGCAAAATAAAGTACAGAGAGATCTTTATCACAAACCCCATAGTATAGGGGGTCATTGTAATTTACCCTAAATATTAACAACTATAGTAAAATGACTTATTGCTACTTGGGTTGGTCTAACTGAACAGGCTCAATCCGAACTTCGAAGTAGATCCGTCCAGAACAAGGGTTCACTGGGCAGGGTGGAGCTTGGACTAAGCCTAGTTTGTATTGTGTTTAGAATTTGGAAATACTCTCCCTAGGTATTAGGGTAGACATTAGACTTATTGGCTATGTAGCATGTAGCCATTAAAAGAATTAATGGATTTCCTACGGAAAAAATTCTGACTCATGAGATCATCAAAGGGTTGGACTATGATATGGAAAAGATATAATATCTTGAAAAGTGAAAATATCTCATCAGTCAACTACAATCATAAACCTGGTAGCCAATCAAATGTTGTTTATCAAAATTCATAGGTGATTTTTCATTGGTCAAAACTATTTTGATATCATGTCTTTTCCGCATTATAGATTTTCCTCTCATCAAAATAATAATGTTCGAACCACAGTTGAACCAGACAGTCAAACCATTCAGCCTAAGAACCATTTAGGTAACCGGTTCCATTTTACCCCAAACGCAATCCCTAACAAAAAACCATTAAATTGGTCAACGACCCATTGATCCGAGCAATTGAACCATCAATCCATTCAACGATTTTTTGCCATTTTTATTATTTTTTAATTTTATTGTTAAAACGGGCCATCTATTCAAATCAGATGATCAAATCATCAACCCAAAAATAGTGACCAGAACAGTTCCGATTCCAAGTTATTTTTTAAAACATTGCAAAATACAATCCCAAGTCATATCTTAAATTCTTCTATTTATTTTTCCCCTGGATCATGCCAATTCTTCTCTAGTAAAATAGTTGGCAGACCCTTGCCCAAACATTTCTAATTGAATAAAAGGGAAAAAAAGACCAAGCAGATCCCAATAAAGGTTCAAAAAATCGTTACATATCGGTTGATACGTATCGTGTCAGGCCCTTCCCGATATGCCCCTACAGGGGCTATGTCGGGTCAGGGCCTAGTTCAAAGGGTAGCCGGGACTTAAACCGGCCCCTCTGAACAAAAATAAAAAATTAAGTAAAAGTTAAAAAAAAGGACACTTTGAACCTTGATCCCAATATACAATAAGAAAACAGTAGTGAATAGACAATCAATGCCAATTGTGTCCAAAACTTTGTTGAGAGAGAGAAAGAGAGATTTTGGCAGGAAACCTTAAGCATTAGAAATGTAAAGTTTGCATCTCAAAAAAACTGATGCAATTATTTACACCACCTTTCTCCTAACTCAATTCTCTCTCCTGTAAAATGGGGATCACACCATCTTGCATGTTTATTCAATCCAAAGTCCCTGACAAATAACCCCTCTTACATCCATTTTCTTGCATATAGAGTAGGACGATACCATTTTATTTCCTATATTATATTATTCAGAAACAAACAAGACAATATCAAATCTGAAGCAAAAAGCAACATCTACACTGCAACCTAACGCAAGCTAAGCATTTCAAACACATGAGCAACTCCCCCCAAGGACCAGACCACATAGGACAAGGGAGGCAAGAATGTCCTCCTAACCAATGACGAGTTTACATTAGCACCCCACACACATCTTAGCATGCATCGGAAACTATCTCCCGTACTTGTCATTGGCCCAATACACAATTGGGATGCACAGTGGGACATTGTGGGGCGGGCACTCGACAAATGATACCTGTACAAAACCCAATGCAAGCTGTGGTGTTCCCTTTTCAATTAAACTAGTGAATGACCCCATATTAAGTACGAGGAATCAGTAATATTAAATTTACATTATGAAATCAATAATGTTAAATTTATATTTATTAATAAAATTTCAAAAAATATTTATTACAAAAAATAACTTTTCAATAATTATTAGAATATGGATAGTTTTCTTTTGCTATGATACATAGAGGGTTTATGATTAACTGAGATTGATAGAATATAAGAGAAGTAATTGTGGATAACCATTTTTGCATTTTCTACATTTTTTATAAATAAATTGAAAAATGATAATGGTGGATTGTGGGCTTTAGCAGCAACTTCTTAGAAAATGCCATGTTAACTTTCCAGAAAAATGAGAAAGCCATGTGTCTAAACGGTGGGGGGCTCTAACCTGTTAATGAATCGTGGACTTTAACAGAAATTTCTCAAAAATGACCACGTGTCTACCTTTCTAGAAAATGAAAAGGCTATTTATCTGAATGGTGCTAGTGGATTGTAAGTATTAACAGCAATTTCTCAAAAAATGCCATGTATCTAAATTTAAAAAAGTCATGATGGGGGCTGTGATCTGCTCTACCAAACACAAATTTTGAATGCAAGGGTTGAGACTCCTCTCTATGTGGTGCTGATACACCCTCTTCAAAACAGAACCCAAGGAATCCAACATCCATCATTTATCATTCCAATATTTTTGTTCCCTACGCCAAAAGCATCGCAATGTTACCCGATGCTTAGACATTAATTCAGTCGAGAATTTGTAAGTGGCCCCATCAATTGAACGATCTACATGACTGGAATAGACTAATAGTGCATCAATTGAATACTGCCATGCAAGCAAGAGTCCAGGCCCCCCCGACAGAAATACATTCCGAAACATAGAATCTACTCTCAAACTCCATGTGATGTAACCAAGAAGTTTGTATAAAATATTAGAGAACAAATGGCAACTTAATTTGCAGCTACAGGGTAAGCATCAGATCCATAGCTCAGAGAACTGTTGCAGGAGGACCATTCTAATGAAAATATACAGACAGACCAAAAAATGTCCTGCTAAATACTTTGCAGCACCAAGATTTCAATTAATACATACAGGCACTAGCTGTAGTACCCATCACTAATCCACTGCCATAAGCATCATAACCATTGCTACCATTATCATCCAGACTTAAACAACAATATTGCTTTTTGATCCAGATAGAAGTAGACAAAATGGTTGGTCTCATGAGTCACATATGAACCTACATAGAATCAGATAGCTAAACAGTCAAATAGACAGCTAGCCACAATATGGTGTGCAAGGTATATGATATAAACTACAATATGATGGGTGCCACAAAGTTGTACATTACATTACCAATTGTATATCTTGGTGGTTTCTGCTACTTGAAATTTCCAATGTTTCAAGATCATATCAATAATTCAATACAATCAGTTAACAAACTAATTGTTACATGTTACATAAACATCAGAAATGCAAGTAAATTTTGGAAATGCTTGTAGACATTGATTAATTTTAGTAATAGCAAAACTATGTTGATATTCCAAGATTATCACTTCTTTGCTTGCTCTGAATCTAGGGTTGTATCAGTCACTATCAGATGAAGAACACCCTAAAGGAAGAAAAGGCGGGGAGGCACCCTTCCTGAAGGTTTTGTTAACCAGCCAAGATATGAAAAGAGGCTATGCACCTCGAAGAAATAGATGAAAAACCGGGTTTTTATTATGGTTTTGCTGACTTGTTGGTGATAATGGTGATAAATGCTTACTCTATAAGAATCAAAAGGTATTCTGATTGTTGCTCTGGAGGATAGAAATCATGGTCTAACTTAGCTGCAAAATAACCAGTGGGAATTGTGACAGCTTGATATGATAAAAAAAGGCATCCAGTAATCAGGAACCCTCAAGATTCTTACCAAACAGAACCATCCAACCAATCCCTATCATAAGCCTCAGGCTCTGCCTGATGTGTAATTTTTAATGAATTAATGAATGAAAAGTTACCATTTTCAGTTAAAAAAAAAAAAAAACTCAGGCTCTGTATCATGCATGACAAAGTTTATATGTGGGAGAAGACTGCAAAATCCTTCTATACTGGCCAGAATAAGAGAGAGAGGGGAGGGGGAAGGGTGAGAAAGTTGGAGAAGAGGAATCTAAAGGTTAGAACTTTTCACCACCAACTTAAATCCCATGTTCTGTGGAGCTGGACAATGTGTGTTGGTTGGACAAGACAATCCCCAAAATCTAGAAAGGGTGACATGGTAGCATTTTATGTCATTAACTTTTAGATTTTCAATTTCCAAAATGTCTATAGCTTTGCAATGCAATTTTGTTTACAGACAATTTCATTTCCCAAATAAAATTAACAAAACTGACTTTTTTTTTGTATAAAGTGCACCTATGTAATGAATTTTAATACTTTTTTTGGTAAACAAATGAGGTATTACACAGGGTATGAAAATACCAATTCAAAGTAGAGACTCAAATGCACAAAGCCTTTATATGCAAATGCAAGATAGAAAAACTGGGATCTTTGGTTTCAAGGGTACATTTGTAAGTTGATTATAAAGTGTTCAAATACAAAATTGAACAGGGGCCCAAATTCAAAGGGCCCTTATATGCAAAATGTATGTAGGTCATGTTTTCTTAAATTAGGGCCCCTTTCGTTTTCTGGTGATAATGAATGAGGAAGCACAATATTTGGGGAAATTTATATGAGGGAAGCAACAACTATGGTAGACCAATACATTTTGCATATCTTAAATCCAAGGGGACAGGATGGAGTGACACCAAGATAGGAACAAGGATTCATGTCTAAGACCAAAAAAGTTGAAAACCTAGAGACAGATAAATTGGACAATAAAGCTCAGTTTGGAAATAGTACAGATACAAATATGTACAGTACAAATACAAGGTTTAGAAAATACAATATGCGGTTTTGCACTTTACGTATTTGTATTTGTACTCTTTCCAAACTAGGCCTAAGGCTCAATTTGTGAGTACAAATACAAATTTGAAAGGAGTACAAATATTATTTTGTATTTGTACTCCTTCCAAACTGAGCCTAAGCAACATCTAGAAGGAAGCTTTGACCACCAAAAAAAAGTAAAGAAAAAAATAAATGAGAAAAATATTACACAAATTCTGGAAATTAGTAAATCCAACAGTCCCGCCCCACACCCAAAAAAATACAAAAGAAAAGGGGAAGATTAGTGTGGCTGCTAGCCTACTATGCAATAGTTCAACTTGGAGGGTGAAACTTTTTTTTTCTTTTCGTCCTGCATAACTAAGATATTGGAAGCCCAGACCACACACAAACAACCATGTTGATAATCAGATTGTATCATGAGAATAGGGTTTGGATGACCTGTTGTTTGGTCATTCATTCAATTAATTGCTCAAATAAGCTATTACATGGAGAGAGAGAAGTCTACATCCATCCATTCATTCACTAAATCTAGACTATTTTTCATCAGTGGTGCCATGCTTGTGCACGTTACATGTGATACAAACCAATAAGTACCTTTGAAAAAGCTACAGACAATGTGATCACAGTGAGATGCACCTGAAGCTGGCAATAACAGAAAGTAGATAATTCAATTCTTAAGGTCATCAAGACCCATTCTCCAGTATGGCATCTACACATTATCTTAACACACCATATTTGTATAAACAGATGTACATTATAATGATTTATCTTTTAAGATGGTAAATACGATACATTACTATATGCATATACATATACTGAGTAAAGTCAACATGACTAAGGATATCATTGTATTACTATGGATTAACTTTTACATGCTATAGAATTATTATATGTGTTAAGGATGTGAGAATAAGTCTAGCCATGAAATGCAAGTCAATATGTCTTACCCAATCAGCCATTAACTGGAATTTACTATCAACACAAAACCAAGCATAGCTTTGTTTATTTTGTATAAAATGAATTTAAAATACAGGTTTATTTGATGCTCGGTTTTGCCAAACCAAGCAGCAACAAATTGGCACCGTCTGTGGGCAACAAATTGGCACTGTCTGTGGGAATGTGTATATACTAGTAATTTAATTAAATTTACTAAGAAATAGGTCTTGAGAATCTTGAGAAATGACACCTAGCTTCAAAAACTAAATATAAAAGTATAAACAAATAAGAAGGGATGCCCATACCTGTATCATGCCCAAGATTTTTAGAAATGGAGGGTCATATACCCATCTGCCATATCCGTTCCATGTCAGAATCCATGTTTGGATATCATAGTTTGCATCACATATTCTATCATGTTCTCATGATATAAATATGTGGAGGTAAGCCTATTTACCTCCACATAGTTTACAAATTCACAAGGAGGCAATTTATATCTTTAAGATATCTACTCCTTTTTTTTTATCAATAACAGCACTTTTATTAAAAGAGATAAGTAAGATACAACCAGAAAGGAGGGGTAAAATGTCTTAACCCTCCCTTTCAAACCCAAAAAAAAAACATATTACAGAATAGCCCAAAACAAATTAGATCTTCCCACCCCCTGTTTAGCCAAGGAGTCAGCCATGGAGTTGGTACTCCTCTTAGCCCATTGAAACCTTATGGTCATGTTCTGAGTTAG